GATTGTGTGCTCCATTTAATTCTTCCACTTTACTTCTAGGTCCTCCTGGTCCCCCAGGGGTAGTAATAGTTGAAGAAATTACAGACACCACAGCAACACTTTCTTGGAGTCCAGGGGCAGACAATCACAGCCCTATCTCCTTCTACAACTTGCAAGCACGCAGCCCATTTTCACTTGGCTGGCAGACTGTAAAGACAGGTGAGAGAAGCTCTTGAAAATAATACAGGCTGAGTTCAAAACTTATGGCTCATGAGAATAAGAAGCATTTGCACCAGATGCAGACAAGGATGCTCTCAAGACAACAGTGATAAATTAAAAGATTCAAACTTGAACATTTTAATTGTTAACATCATTAGAGGGCAGGGATGCCTGACACTTTTGTATCTGTGGGAAACCAGAGCATTTCTGTCTCTAGATTTTTCAGTCTGTTCCCTTCAAGAGAACCAATCTGATTTAATGCCCTTCCCCCCCCCCCCCCCCAAAAAAAAAAAAAAAAATCCTATGGACATAAAACCACTGACCTCCACTAGGCTTTACTATTGTATCATTCATCCAATTCCTACTGATATGTTACATAAGAGATTCATATGACCTATAAGATGCTTTGGATAGGGATGATCCTGCCTCAGGCAGGGGGTTAGACTAGAAGACTTCTGGAGATCCCTTCCAGCCCTACTTCTCTGTGATTCTGTGATTTAATGTCTTAAACATTTTCTCTGTTTCCCCTAGTTCCAGATACCATAAGCGGTGACATGGAATCTGCCATGGCAGTAGAACTGAACCCTTGGGTAGAATATGAGTTCAGAGTTGTAGCAACCAACAAAATTGGGACTGGGGATCCCAGTGCACCATCTCGAGTGATCAGAACCAATGAAGCAGGTAAGAACATGAATAGCCAAAAACTTATTTTCCTGGAGCCATCTGGATCAAGGAAAAGTTTAATAATAATGTACTGTAGCACCTCATGCTCACCCCTGTGTGCAGGCACCACTAAACTGATGTGATTTTTAAAGAAAGAGTTTGGCCTTTGCTTTCTGTCTTCTACATGCAACAGGCTTGCTGTCCTCTCCTCTGCTACTCCTCCATTCTCTGGGGCTTTCTGTCATCAAGTCCCTTCTTCATCAGGCTTTTCCAGGACTTCTTTGTCACTACATATTTTTCATAAGATCCTTTTGTTTAACAGTCCACATGAGGTCCAGTTAATGAGGTAGTATCTACACTGGGCACTTAGACTTCTGCTTCACTCAAATCCAGTGCAGTCTGGGTGTTCTTTCTCTGACAAATCCCACAACAAATTATAAAGGTTCTGGAGATGTCCTCAAATATCCTTGATTACTAGAGAAATGCCGGAACAGGAAATGGACAACCTATTAGTACCTTTTGACAATAATCTCCAGAAGTCTGAAATCTTATGAGCATTTTGTAAAGAAGGCAGGAACCAAAGGAAACAGGTGTTTGAAGGGAAGAAAAGTTGAGTAAAGTTTATTTGGAAGTGGGTACAAAGAATGGTAGGTAGAGTGGACACTTCTTCTGGAGTTTTTGTAGAATTGGTTTTCTTTGGAGTTTTTGCTTAATTAGTTGGGTTTGTAGGTGATGCTTTTTCGGGAGGGGGAAGGGTTTCCTCAGTTCAGTGGCTTGTAAAACACATCATTAATCACATATAATAGTTTTTTGGAGTCTGAACACAACATCCATGCCACCACTTATTGTAGAAAGAGATGTTTAGATATGTTAGTCTGAAATCCAGCTAACTTCAATCTGGTGCAGAGTAGAATGGCCCATTAAAGAATAACTCATTCAGAAAGTAGAAGCTTTCATAGACTAAAGTGCATGCCTTCCGGAACAAGTTAGTTTTTAAGGTGCCCTGCTTACTGCATTACTTATCATAGGCATTCACTAAGTAATAGATTAGAGGGATATGTTAGTCTTGTCACATTCTATTTTCTTTCTTACCAAAAAGGGAAATTGTAAGAGTGGCCAGGGTGATAATCCCATAACGTATACTTCCATCATTCTGAAAGAAATAGTGAGCTTTGGAGTTTTGTTAACGGTGTACATCTGATCCAGGGGTGGGCAATTATTTGTGCTGGAGGGCTATTTAACAAGTTTGAATGGAGCTGCTGAGGGCTGCACATATAAAATTAATGGTGGCTTCATTAAATAAATAGCAATTAAATTAACTTAATTAATGTGAATGAAATTAACAGGTCCTTTGTGTCCTAGGGGGAGGGAAATGTAGCATGAAGGGATTGGGTATCAGAGAGGCATCAGAACAGAGAGATGGAGGGAGAAGAAGCAGGAGGAGATCTGAGCAGGGACAGGAAAAGTGGGGAAGCAGGA